GGACGCGCGGGCGGTGTTTGCCCTTGACGAGGGTTCCTGCCCACCTCCGCCCAGCCTGTGGGTCGGCTCCCGCCCCTGAGAGAGCCCCTCTGCAGAGCAGCGCCCCCTTCTCTGGGCCTCCGCGCCTGGCGGGGACCGGGGGTCTCCTGTTGCTGCTGCCGCGCCCGCGCCCGCCTGGGGCTCGCTGCCGCTCCAGCCCCGGGGCTCCCCCTTTGCTCCCTCCCGCCTCCCTGGCCCATCACCCTGGGTTCCGTGTGACCCCGTCTCCCCCTTTGTACCGTGTAGAGCGCGGTGCCACCGGCCCCCTCCGGCGCTCTCAGCCCCCTGAGGCTCTGGCTTCCCGCAGCTGCCCCACGGTTTGGCTGAAATAAGCTCACAGGATTCACGGGTCCGAGCGAGCCCGGGCCTCGGTGCTCCCACCTGTCATTCCCCGGGCGCCGACCTCCAAACGCCGGGCTGGGCCTGCAGGAGTGCGGCTTCTCACNCCCCCAGGGTCCCCAGTGCCCCCAGCGCCCCCAGCGTCCCTTCCTGTCTCTGGCCTGCAGAGGGCGCCCCTCCCCTGCGTCTCTGGGCCTTCTCCAGGGTTCAGCGCGCTCTCTAAGGACAGCAGCCACCTGGGGATAGGGCCGCCCCCAAACCTCATGCGACCCGATTCCTTAGAGGCCTCTCCAGAGCCAGCCTGGGGTTCTGGGTCAGGAGGTCAGCAGGCGGATTGAGGTGGGTCGGACGCAGAGCCTGCCGGTGACACCAACGTACTGAGCAACCCGAGAGTTTAAGACGGATGCTTGCATTTGGGTTACCGGCCAAAACATCGCCCAGTGAGAGCGAGACAGCCCGAGGTCTGCGTGCTCTTCGCATCCTGAATGACCTCCCACCTGTTTTCTTTTTTAAAATTGAGGTGTCCTTCACATACGGTATCATATTAGGTTCAGGTGTACAACATGATTGATATTTTACATATTGTGAAATGATCACCACACTAACTCTCGTTAAACTCAGTTCCACACAGTTAAAATTTTCTTTTTCTTCTGTGGACAAAAGGTGGCCAAATGCTAACCTGACAAGCTCAGGGGAGGCCTGCGTGGGGGCCTTGAGGGACCTAAAGTAACCCCAAAGGATGGCCTGAAATGAAAACATTTTTAACTAAAATCAGTTTATGGTGCATAGTCACGTCCTAGGGCATTTTTTTCCACTAACAAAGGACTGCCTTTGCATCTAGGAGAACATACCTGATTAACATGCCTTTGCAAAAACAAAGTAATTTCCCTTTTCCTGACCCCTCAAAGCAGAGCTGAGGCCACAAATCCCGTCATTGTCATTGTTACCATGTTAATTGTTGGCTGTTAACTATCCTGCACCCAGGATAAAAGAAGTGTGTGTCTATCATTTTACTTTTTATCCAACCCCAGAGGTTTCCCTGCCTCCCTAATCTATCACCAGTGGATTTCAGGTAACACACTTACATCTCTTTATTTTTTTTTAAATATATCTTTATTGATTTCAGAGAAAGGAAAGGAGAGGGAGAGAGAGAGAGAAACATCAATGATGAGAGAGTCATTGATCGAGCCCACAGCCCGGGCATGTGCCCCGACTGGGAATCGAACCCCTATCGCCTGGATCCCAGGTCGACGCTCAACCGCTGAGCCACGCCCGGCCGGGCACATCTCCCCTTTTGACTGTAATGTATAAAACAAGGTGTAAAACTGCCATTCTCTGGAGCACTATGTCAGTCGCATTAGCTCACTCCTTTGAGATTCTGCTTCCCAGTAATTCTGCTTCCCAGTTTGACTCAAATAAACTCACAAAAATTCTTCACAGGTTTGAGTGTTTTTTGCATTGACAATTTTAAGAATATTTTTAAGATCTCAAATATACAATATACACTATTATTTACTATAGTTTCCATGCTGCACATCGCATACCTGTGACTGACTTATAACTGGAAGTTTGGACATTTTGACTCCTGTTCCCCCGCCCCCCCACCAACCTGTCTCCATCTGAGAGCTTACTTTGCAACTTTTCTGTAAACATAAAACTATTTTAAAGCCTAATAAAAAGCATTCATAACTTTCCAATCTGTTATATTTTCATTATAAGCAATGCTTTAGTGACGGTTTCTGTCTACTCTTAATGTGAAATTTGTGGCTAAGATGGCCATAAATTTGTGGGGATTTGAGATCAAACCTAATGAATTTGTCCACTGTGAAGCTAAATCTTTGAGACTTAGAATACACAGGAGAGATAATGTGGAATAATAAATAGAAGAATTAAATATTGATTGTAAATAAACGCTGGCTTAAGGATTTTAAATGTAGCATGCAAGGTAAAGCTGTTAGAACTGATCAAATGAAGGCTGGACAGCATTTCAATTCTGCATTTGATACATGAACTGAAGCAGATGAACCCGAATCCGAGAGAATGGCCTGGAACCTGCATTGATCTCCGGGCCCGGAGGAGGAGCTGGTCCCATCACCGAACCGGGGAGAGTGGCAGGAGCTGAAGAAGGCGCCGGCCCGGCTGGGGCCCCGCACCCACGGGGTGGCGCACAGGAGCCGCGT